CAAAGTCGTGGTTAATTTCAGACCCTGCTCTGCATTTAACATGATCCTTTTTGTGAAATTCAACCGATTCATTGACTTGATTAAATATCATTTATATGATATTAAAATCCAGCTCTGACAACAGAACAATCATTAATCGACAAACATTAGTAATCAGACGAAAGCAACAGCTCAGACACTGTTCAAAACACTGTTCGTAGTCATAATGACAATTTCAACAAGCACTGCATGAGCAAAAACAGTCCAAGTAGAAATTCAAATAAATAACACAAATCAAATTTATTCAGTTTCCCTCCATTTGGTGGAGTCGATGTAAATGAGGCAGTTTGCAAGAGAGCTTGAAAGAGTAAAAGACGTGACCATGAGATAGAGCTACACTCTCTTATCTCCTTTGTTTATGCATAGTAAGATGTACACTGATGTCTAAAAGACAATGAACGATACATACTTGAACTCTAAAGTACCATTTCTGTGCATAGTTGTTACAAAGACACACAAATCTTTGATCTACTTCAGCAGTGGAGTGCATAGATAGAGATAAAGTGAGAGATGGTAGTTCCTGAGAGGAGAGAAAGAGAGAAAAGAGGAGAGTGACGCGGCTGGCACAGCTATAGTAGTGTCTCCCACAAGCACAGCCCGTGTGACCTCAGATAAACGGCTCCTTCATATGTCTCTTTAAACACTCGATCATTCTCTCGGACTTCCCTTCGTGTGTGAGTGTCTGTGGATGAATGTGAGCATCTTCCTGTAGTGCTGCTCTCCATGAAGCTTTTCGGCGCTCCAGTATTTCTCTTTTTCTCCGCCATTACTCCACATTGAGAGAGAAAGAGAGAGAGAGAGAGAGAGAGAGAGAATGTTCAGGCTCATCACTTCCTGGTTTCGTCTGGTTTCAGCCACGTCCCATCGTCATCTATTTCCTTTTGGACGACGAGGAGCATTTCTGCAATATCCTGAGAAAGCTGCTCAGTGAGAAATGGCCTGTGAGGAGGAAGAATGAAGAATCAATAAAAACAAAGATCATGATTTATTGGGTTTCATTCACTTATAATTGCACAGAAGTGACCAGCTTTCTCCAAACCAGTTATAAAAATTTTATTTTCATACTATTTTCATGTTAAAATATTATTTTAATTTACATATTATTTTCTCATGTTAAAATCAATCCGAGCAGCTGAGTCCTTAACCATCTTCAAGAAACGACTTGTCTTGTTGTTCTTCTGTTAGTTTTGACTGCTTTTATTGTCCTCATTTGTAAGTCGCTTTGGATAAAAGCGTCTGCTAAATGACTAAATAAATAAATAAAAATCATTTTAGCTTAAGTAGTTAAGCAAGTTTCATTTGTATTTATCACGGTCTATAAAGTAAAGCTACGCAAAAACATTTTTTTATTAGTAATTATGAACAAATTACTCTTATGAACCATTTCCATAAATGAACCTATACAGCTCAACCAGAGTAGTCCGATTCATGAACAAATGACTCTTATGAGCCAGTTTTTATTAATTCTAATGAATCATTTAAAAAGAGAAACTCATAAGAAATCATTTAATCAATCTGATGAATCTTTCACTGAATTAACAGTTTTACACCAATGTTATTTTGGAATTACTATATTGTGTTGTTGTTTTCATTAATGTTTTCACTTTGCTTTTATTTTTATATTTTAAGTCTTCATTTTAATTTTTAGTACTTCTGTTATGTGCTTTTGTCATTCATATTCATTTTTTATTTCATTTTGTAATATTTCTAGTTTTAACTGATTTTTATTTCAGTTAGTAATTTAATTACTTAAACTTATTTCAGTTAGTTGTCAAGGCAACATTTCTAATTTTGATTCAGTTGAAGATTTGATCTAATATTTATATTTTATTTTAGCTTTATTTCAATACAGATTTAGTTTTAGTTAACAATAAAAACAATACAAGATTACTTCAAGGGTTACTACTTTTTGTGAGTTTTATTGAAGGTTAGAAGATTCTCTGTAGAATTGTATTTTTTTTCACATAACTAATTAATCAAATCAAACTGAATCGGTACAGAATCAGGAGATGTGTGTTGATACCCAGGCCCTTGTCTTAGATGATATGATCGCCACAGTACATACAAATGCAAATGGGGTCCAAGAGATCATGTGATCCATCTTGACCTTATGTCTGTTGTTTCCTGTAATATTAATAACCATCTGCCATTATAGTACTGCTCTTGTTCTCATTGAATTACCTTGTTCTGCGTCATTATAACTGTGTCTGGGCAACACTGCACTGCATATCAGAGACATTTGGAAATGTGTGGGTCTCATTTATTTCATTTTACTGTGTACACACCTGGAAGGTGTAAAACATGCACTAATGTTTTCATGCAAAAATAAGTTTTTACTTTTTACTAAGTAACTAAAACAAAATTTTAGAAAATATTTACAAGTAATTCTTAGTAAGTCTCACCTGAGTTCTGTTTCTCCGCCAATACAGGCAGGCCCTTTTAATTTCGAGTCTAGGTTATAAAACTGTCCGTTGACTTCCCGTACCGCTAGCCAGTGTCTGCGTCTCAGTGGGAGAGACACAATTCCCAGTGATACCCTTGACGGGACATTCAAAATGAAGCCCTGAATTTTGTCCAGGCACAAATTCTGTACTGACCTACAGTGAACGAGAGATATGGGGAAAAAGTTAACCCACCTTTTATGATCATCACAAAGCCCATGATTTATAAAGTGACATCGTGCTGCTGTCACACTCACCTGCGTTTGTCCCACCAAACAGCAGCGAGCCCCCGACTCTGCAAAGCTGCCATGATGACATTGACATCATAGTTTCCCGTGCCCAACACTGAGCGGTGTGGATTCATCACACATTGTGGGGCAAGTCTGCAAAGAAATAAAGCAGAAAACTTTGGCTTTGAGAATATAGAATTAAACATCAGATCTCTCTCTCTCTCTCTCTCTCTGTGTGTGTGTGTGTATGTGTATGTGTATGTGTATATATATATATATATATATATATATATGAAACGCTCACCGCTTGCAGATGTCATCTGCTGTCTCCTTGGTAAAAACTCTCTCTTGAAGCACGTTGTTCAAGGCATGGATGGCGCACAGCTCCAGTCTCTGTTTCTCATGAAACACCTCGCCCTCGCTCATACTCACCCTGCCATCACAAGTACATTCAGCCCATTGATTAACATTTCAGTACGCCCAAGAACAACTAATGTACTGACAGCAAATGACTGAAAACATCATAATCATCAACATACCTTCTGGAAGACAGAATCCGCAGTGCAATGATTTATCCACAGTAAGAAAACAAATACTGCTTAGACGTGCCGTGACACTAATCTTTATTATTCTATTACACCTGCCGTGGTGACAACTTAATCTACAAGGATCTCTGAAAAGAGTACGCTGTTTCTGTTTCTCGTCTGTGAGGATCGGCCGGAAGTTGTGTTGTTGTTGCGTTGAGGTAACGCCCCGTGCGGTCATCCAGGACACATGTGAGCTCCACATGGGGCGCTATAATAATCAAAATCCTCTGTACAAGTGATATAATTTTTTATTCCAATACCAGTGGGACAAGGAAATTAATATATTATGAAATATTTATAATTGGTTTGGAAGTTCTATAAAGAACAAAATTTGATTCCTGGCTGTAAACAGTACTGTAATTATATGATATTTTGTATAAATGTAAAAGATTATTTAAGCATATTATATTATTATTATTATAAAACATTATATCATAAAACAGAGACACTTTTGCCTAGTTTATTATGCACGCATGCACCTCTTACATGTTCTTAGTTTTGTTGTATAATTTAACTAGTTATACATTTTGTAATTTTTAAGATTATATTTTGTGAACACAACCTGCAAGCTTTTTTACTACTAAAAAAAATGTAAACCTAAAATATATGCAACAAACATCATTAGCGCAAACTTAAACAACGAAGCGTAATTTAGCTTTAGGATTGGAGTACCATCTAGCGGTCGTTAAGTAGTACAACAAACACTTTTATTATCCGATTGTTTTGTGGGTTCAGTCAGTGTCAGATTTGTTTTCAGTGACACTCATTTAGCGGGCTTGCCTTAATTAAATCAGTAATGACGACCTAAATGACGGATTAAGGGATAAAACAACTAGTTTTAACTCGTGTTATAGTGGAAAAAATGCATAAGCCTATGACTAACTGATAACGTAAATGATCAATATCAAGCATGTATGACTTTTATGTTTTAAATGATAAATTTGCTATTTTAATTTACAGTGTATTTTATACAATTATTTAATTATTATTATCATTAATAATAATACAAATAATGATAAATACAAGCAAATAGTCAATAAAACAATTTGTTGCTTTGCACTATTTTCATTTGTTTTCTACATAGCAACACTGCAAATGCTTTGGCAATACAAATGTAAAAACAACAACAACAACAATAACAATACTACTACTAATAACAATAAACAGGGATCGTCAGAGGGTCTCGAAACTCTTTTGGCCTTTGGGTTGTCAGTACAGATTTTACTGGCATGGAGGTCTTTATAGAAAACAACAGCAAAAGAACCTATGTGGCTGATGCTTTGGCCTATCACAGATTCTAATATCACAGGAAATAGTTGCTATGAGTAAATCTATGACCATATGATTCACAACACAAGTTATTTTAAATATAAGAGATGGCGCATCGTAACGGGCTAGATTTACAAATTATTTAGATTCAACAAAACGTAGCCTATTACTTTGAATAAAGAACATTGCAGAGTGACACTAAACGCTTCCAAAAAAGTCTGTCATTGGATCATGAAATGAAACAACATTTGTCCCTCCCTGCCTTTGGGAGGGCATGAGTTATTCAAACGCACCTATTGCCAAAGAGCATTTTTCGCATTCTCAACTTTCTGTGGTCCGTGAGGTTTCCAAGGGCTTCTACGTCAGCTTAACCCAAGCTTCTGATTGGCTAGAGGGATTTAATTGTTGAGCACGTGCAGTGCTTCTCAGACTCTGATTGGTTAAACCTCTTTCGAACTGCTTCTTAGACGAATTGTATTTTTGTTCCTGTGTCAAAAAGACAGCTAGCTGATAACAAGCTACAGGAGCCACCTGTGGCAGTTAGCTATCGAGCAAACCGACTTTATCAGACGAAACTGACAACATATTGGACTTTAAAACCTTTAGACGGCACGTTTCATCTGAGGACCACATCGGATAGCAGTTTCACAAGGGAAAGCTTTGGAGAATAGCTAGATAGCTTGCATTGCTCAGCAAGCCCACCGCTAGCTTAGCCTTGTTTGGTAGTAACACTAGCAAGTCGACCGACACTACAGTGAGAAATTGGTATTGATAATTTGTAAATTCTTTAAACGTCTTAATATATGTTGCAGTCTTGATTGATTGCAACTTTTAGATTCGTTATCAGTGGTTTCCGTCGGTCTCGTTGTGGATCACCGGATCGGTCTCGTCGGCCGGTTGGGTAGCAGTTAGCCAAGTTTTCTCATTTGAGATAAATTTGCTGGCTATTAGAAAACCCCACACAGCTGGAAATGGTACGTTTGATTTGAAATCGATGAACGATACCTCAAACTGTTTGGTTAATATAAGAAAATAGGTTTTCTGTTTATTCTCATTATTTTTTTTGCAGTTTAGTTCGTATATTAGTAGACGGTACAAGCTGTAACTTATTGATTTACGACTAAAACTTTATCGTTCACATATAATTGATTTAATTTCTTCCTCCTTTTTGTCTTTAATTTGTATCTTTTCACTGTCTTGAACTAATACAACAGATTATACTGCTTTGGTGTTAAATTATCAGTCATGTGCCATTCGCGGAGTAATTTAACTTTGTTGCTGAAAATAAGTGTATTTTCAGGATTGTTGCTTTCCCAAATCTGCCACGAAACAAGACAAATATATTGATTTTTAGTCGTCTTTTTTGTCAAGAACGTGCGCAGGTTTACCAGCAAATGTCAGTTTGTAGCAATTAATGCTGTACATGCTTGACACTTAATTTATTTATTCATTTATTTTTGGAGAATTCAAACGTGGAGAACTTGCCGCCTCAAGTGTTGAGACTCGTCTATAAAGAGGTTTCCGCCTTGGCAGCAGACCCTCCGGAGGGGATCAAAATCTACCCCAGTGAAGAGGACATCACAGAGCTGCACACTGCCATTGAGGGCCCAGGTAAGCAGTGCATATTATTAGTTGTTTCGCCTTTCTTTTAAGGACCATGGCTTAACAATTTACCTTTTTCCCTGTTTCACAACAGAAGGAACTCCGTATGCTGGAGGGGTATTCCGGATGCGTTTGGTCCTTGGGAAGGATTTTCCTGCTGCACCTCCCAGAGGCTATTTCCTCACGAAGATTTTCCATCCTAATGTTGGGCACAAGGGTGAGATCTGTGTCAATGTACTGAAAAGAGACTGGAAGGCAGAGCTGGGCCTAAGACATGTATTGCTTGTAAGTAGCATTTTACTCTTTCTCCTGTCCTGTGAAACCTAGATTAAAATGCCTAAATATACAAGCATTTATAGAGTTTTTATTTTGAGTGTCATTAATGTAAAACACTAAATCAACTGTTGTATTTGAAATTGTGTTTTAGTTGAGTAATTGAATAACCAATGACAAAGCAGAATCCCAGTAAAAGAGATTCATCTTAAAGGCAAATGTATTCTAGGACTTATATACAGGCATATGAATATTTGTATATTTAATTGTATTTTAATTTATTTGTCATAATAGCAACTCTAGGAATTCTATTTGAATGATTTTACTCCATTAGCCTATACATTTTAAAGAGAAGCGAAGATATCTACTATTTACATAACTGATGGAATTACTACCTCATAAATTACAATAAGGATTTAAATTAAAAATAATAATAATTCTAGTAACGACTTGCCACTTGGGGTTTCTGTGCCAATTCTGATGGGGCATTTTACCCCAAGAGTCTGCTTTATTTATTATTTTTCCCCCTTCAAAATCATATATATATATATATTTTTTTTTTTTAGTGCTGTCAAATTAGCGCGTTAACGCAGGTGATTAATTTTTTCAATTTAACGTTTATATTTAACGCAATTAATGCAGGGGCGGAGCTAGGGTTGGCTCACAATTGCTACTTCTCTTTTTTTTTTTTTTTTTTTTTTTTCTTGACAAAAATTGCGTTTATTTAGACACAGAACGTCTTTATGACCACTTCAAATGGGAGACTTTCAGACGCGCACTCCAACTTCACTTCAGCGCAAGTCAAACGAGCGTGAAATAAAAGGTACAGGTGATGAGGGAGCTTCAGTAGAACAACAGTGAACTACGGTCGGATGAGATGTTATTAGGCCATATGTCAGCTGGTGCTGTGCTCGTAGCGCGTGCTCTTCAGTTGCACGCACAAATGCGGCGGCACGCACTGTAGCCTGTATCAAAGCACGAAAGAAACTATGAGCATGCAATGTCGTAGTTATGTCGTCAGTTAAGTTATGAAGTTACCAAAAAGGCAATTAAAGCTGCCTTAAAACTGTGCATGCATGTTAGTATTTGTTATGAGTTACATTTAAGAACATGTCTCTGAAATGGTTTTCAAAAATGTCCTGGAACACCCCAGCACTCTCTCCCTCATCTAACGCACACGATTTAACTCGTCAGTTCATTAGAGACTTTAAGACCTGAAGTGGGTCAGAAAAGGTAAAGAGTTGAGAGAAAATACTATGCATGTCAAATCCTGTCATATTCGGCAGCAGCAGCTCTTAAAGCAGCTAAAATAACCTAATAACCAGCTGCTGTCATGTCTGTTAATCAAAGAACAAAAGAAAAAAAAAAAAAAGGAAATCAAAAGCTTTAAGGATTAATCTTTATTTAAATTTAGTGTTTGATAACTTTATTCGGTTTCTGTATATTTCCTGCTTTCTAAAGGGCACAGGTAGCTAAATATGACATTTATTATGATGGGTTTATATGAAGATTGTTTTAAGTTCACTTAAATTAGAAGTTTTTTTTTTTTTTTATGTTAAAATTTAAACTTATTTCACAGAGACATCAGTAGTATTGGTATCAGTGATACTTGCCTTCGGTCATAAAAAAGATGCCATTAAACAAATATTAAAAGTATACTGTCTATGTTGTTTGTACATTAATTTGAAGATTGAATGTGAAATTATTGCAGTATAGAAGTATCACTAATTTTATATCATTGTAACTTTGCTTCCCACACACTTTAAGTACTTCTTCATATATACCACAGCAAAAACTATAGTCTGAGAAAGTTCAAACATGATTAAAGGCAAGTGACCCTTTAACTCTTTTTAACGTCAAGCAATTCTCTGCTATATGCGTCGAACAAAAATGCGTCGCACGCCGTTGCGATATGCATATTGCGATATTTACATTGGTGATATATCGTGCAGCCCTAATTTTAATGTTAGATGGGATTAATCGCGATTCATTTCAGAAAAAAATGTATGGTTAATTAGTATTTTTTTTTATTGATTGACAGCACAGATATACAGTGGGTACGGAAAGTATTCAGACCCCCTTAAATTTTTCACTACATTGTCCACAAATTTTGCAATAACAAATGGACACAAAAAACTTTGGTAAATATAAAACAATACAATATCAGTGATTACTTTATATATGGCACTATTATAAACCTTATTTCAGTTTATAGCAGATGTCCCATTGTATTTAAATATTTTAAATGTATTTGGACATATTTGTTGGTTTTGCTTTTGTCTTGTTCTTCATAGCTTACCCCACTTTCCCCTGCAGTTTTTGTTTAATGTGGTTGTATCAAACTTTGAATCTCATGGCTGGTGTAAATGTATTAAAAAAATGATTGATATAAGATTAGCTGTATTGTACAACAGTGACCACACTTTCAGCCAAGTCTAGATGTGGACATAGAAATGAGAATTTTGTGACCATCAGATCTTTGATTAAAACATTCTGAGCTTCCGAAATAGTACTCTTTCTTCAGCACTGTATTATGTAACTCATTTATCATCCACACCCTTCTAATTCTTTCTTTTACAGACCATCAAGTGCCTTCTGATCCATCCTAACCCAGAGTCGGCTCTGAACGAAGAGGCTGGGAGGTTACTTTTGGAGGACTATAAGGAGTATGCATCCCGTGCTCACCTTCTTACAGAGATCCATGCTATGGGAGGCACGTCAGGGGCCCTTCAAGAGCCCGCTGATGGACCCCAACCTAAGAAGCATGCAGGAGACCCAAACAAACGTGTAGCCGGGGCTGGTTTGCCAACAAATGGTGTTGCCACCAACAATTTAAGTAACAGCAGCTCCAGCGGCACAAGCAGTAGCAATACTAATATAGTTGCAAAGAAGAAAACGGATAAAAAACGAGCTCTGAGGAGGCTATAAAAGAGAATGAATCTGTGCTTTTTGTGTACATATAAATATTGATGTGTGCAGACCACCTTTTCTCCTCCTCAAACTGTCTTTCCATTTTTAGGATAGCACATTCATTTTGGCATGCTCCTACCAGATCACTCCTCTCATTTTTGTTCCCTTGTCTCTTTCAACTTGTTCTCAGGACTTGAACTGTCCTTGTGACAATTCTCTCTTTGTTCCGTTCACAAAAGGGGTTTTCATCTGTGTTTCAGAAGTTTTACGAGTATGAAAACAGTAGTAAAAGTTTTGACAGTTCATTTGTGGCCTCGACAATTATATCATGACCATAAGCAAGATTTTGGTGTGTACTGTCTGCAGAGAATTTATAATATTTAGATTGCAGGTGTGATGGGACAGTTACTGTAATTCTGTCCTACTGTAGTACTGTACTGTTTTTCTGGGGTTTAATGAAGAATAGTACATTGCACAGGATATGATCGTTGTGTGTGTTTGTGGTGAAAGATACAAGATCAGGAATAACAGACAGGGAGTTAAAATGTGGTCTGAATATTACTCGTATGAATATTACTACTTTGTTTGTTTTAATGGTTTTTTTTGTGAGTGCATATTTGTGTGGTATTATTTTTATAGTTTTACTAAATTTGTCTGTTCATTTCTATTTTGTAGTTCACTTTTCAAAAGGCCTTTTTCCATTTTTTAAGTGAATGGCTACATTTACCTGACACTGACGCTTGAGATTGAGTCCTTAAAGCCTTTGGGTCAGTTGGGGTAGAGCATTGGGGCTAATAGTTAATCATGAAATATGAGCCAGAAGTGGTGTTCAGTGTTGTCTTTTAAATGAAGTAGTTTGGTTATACTTTTCAATAAGAACATTTACTCCTTTTTATATGACACAGCTGCAATTTTCTCTGGCTCTCTTGATCTCTCAATCAAAAGGCTGTTAAGGAATCTCTGGTAGTCTGTTGTTGCCCATTGTTACATTATATGGGGCCTTCAGTTCCCAAAGATCCTCTTAACAAAGTGATATGAACTTTGGACAAGATGCGTTTGCAGAAACAGTTTGCGAACATATTTAAAAGTTTGTGGATAAACTATAGGGCATTTTGTGGCCATTTAAGTTATTTAAATTAATAAGAAATAAATAAATTTTTGAGAGCAGTTCGATTTTTTTCCTTTTATTTATTAAAGAAAAACTGTATTAGTCTATATTTGTTGTGTTCCTGTCTGTGTTTTTTGGACAGTTGAAACTGGGCAAGGACATTAGGTTATCAGGAGTTATCTTCGACATTATTGTGTGTTGGGAAATAATTTGATTTTTTTTTTTTTTTTTTGATTTTCTTTTTTTAAATTAATTTACCAGTTAGAGGAATAGTTTACCCAGAAATGAAAATGTACTCCTCCTCAGGCCATCCAAGATATAAATGAGTTTATTTCTTCAAACGGATTTCTTCTGAACAGATTTTGAGAAATTTAGCATTACATCACTTGCTCATCAATGGTTAATGTGGAGTGAATGGGTGCCATCGGAATGAAAGTCCAAATAGCTGATAAAAACGCAATTAACCCAAAAGGTGAAAAAGCTGTGTTTGTAATATATTCATTATTAAGACTCAAACTTAAAATCATTGCTTCTGGCTAAAATATGCGTTCTCTATCCATTACGTTGCTTTCTCCAGTTAAAGTCGTCTCGTCTGAATTAGGAGAGAAATATGCACTGATCAAGCACTGTTTACAAGTGAAAATGGTTCTAGACATATTATTGTGGATTATTTTGATGCTTTTATCAACTATTTGGACTCACATTCTGAGGCCACCCATTCACTGTCGAGGATCCATTGGTGAGCAAGTGATGATAAAATGCTACATATCTCCAAATCTGTTCCGATGAGGGAAAAAACAAACAAAAAACCTCATCTACATCTTGGATAGCCTGAAGGGGAGAAAATTTTCAGCAAGTTTTCATGTATGGGTGAGCTATTCTTTTAAGTGTTTTGTAGAACTGTACATGTTCTCTAAATGGTCTGTATTTACATCTGCCCAGTTAGACTCATTGGAGTCTTACAGTTCAGGCTGCTTTCACCTAGCATTCAGCAATATTTGCTTTTGAAACGTTGTATGATGATGGAGACCTGCAGATGGTTAAAAACAAGCTGTTCAGTGTGTTTCGCCCCTTGAAACATTTTATGCCATATTCAGGTTTTTCCCCATATTCAGAGAGCGCATTGCGGGCTGTAATTTGTGCGGGCTATGAACGGATGATCGGTTCTCGTCTCAGGTTGCCCACCCACCTGTATAGGAATAGCTAAGTGCACACTGTCGGGAATCAACGTATCAAACTCTCATAAACACCGTCTCGCGAAACCAATAAACGCACTATTCAGCGCAGCGGACCTCTGTGAGAACACCCGCCTCATTCCACCGGTGTTTCGTGACAGGGTCGGAATGTTCTTGTGTGCACACTTTGCAGGCGGCGTCGATTAACGGCAACGTTAAGGAACAACAGAGAAAAAAATGCATGGCATCGGTGCCGTCCGTTATTCTGGGCGTTAATAAAAATATATGAGGGACTTAGGAGAAGGTTATCTCACCTGGAATACTTTCACAGTACATAACGTTAACACGCAAATAAGTTGTGCACGATCTGTTGCCTATCGCTAAAAACCGATGCTTTATCTGTAGTACGAACATGGAAAAAACCGGCGTAGGTGAGAGAAAAACCTGGAAAGATATTAGTGACTATAACTGTTGTTTTGTTACCAAAAGACGAGACTACCAGCAGTAGGAAAGTGCTGCAACAGTTTGTGGAAATAACAGAATTTCTCAGCCATCATCGTCGCTCAGGGTTGAATGAGATGTGAGACTGGTGGTGTCGCAAGGAGCAGCAGAATTCAGTACAGGTAAGTCGCTCAAGTTGAACTATATTTCTGCAAGTCATCTAATTGCCTGATCAAACGTTCACGCGCTTATGTTTGGTTCTGTAAGTTTCATGATTTGCGCTGGGAGGGAAAACACAAATGTTAGACTAGTTCGAAATGCTCATGTCACATTTGATGTTTTCAATCAATTGCAAGCGACCGGAGGAAGATGTTCACACATATGTAAGTGTAAGGTGGCTCCACATCACCCTCCGTGCAAACATGCATTCACGCCTACGCAGACGGCCGTTCATTGCTCTCGCGCTGTTTGTCATGTCCACCTACTCACCCGCGTGCGAATTACAGGTCCACAATCCGCAAGAGACACGTCGATATAAGATAGTTTCACCTCCAGCTATCAGAAATGTATCAAACCCTGTTATTATTGGGGAATATGACTGTAGCGAGAGCAACAAAAGTCCGATTTGTTTGGTGGGTTGCGCAGAGGACTTTTCATACGGTGTGTCTCTCTACAGGTATGACGTTGGGTGATTTATTTTTATTTTATTTATTTATTTTTGTTAGCTTATGTTATGCTAAGTTGACAGAATTAACGGAACACACCCTGGTGGCATTATTTGGGCCTACACATAGGTAGGCTACCAACTTATAAATAATTGTGCGTAATTTTTTTTTCTTAAAGATGGTTCCAATATATAAGCACTGCCAAATAGAGTTCAGTAATGAGGTGAAACTTAAAAAGTAAAGAAGACCTGAGATCCCATGTCGATCATTTAAATGACTGTACATTCATGCAACAACATTTGTTGTCAAGAATGATTTGTGTATTCAAACTGGTTTCGTTATTCCAGCTTATGAATAAAGCTGGTTTTCTTGTCTGCAAGTGAAATTTGCTGTCAAGAGGCACCAAGCAGAATTTGTGCTTGCCAAATGGCACATTTTGCTGCTTTGCAACACATTTTATAGATGTTTTATTTTTGGGGGGGACTGCATGTATGACAGAAGCTTTAGTCTCTCATTCTGTCCTATGTGATATTACTCATCTCATTCCTTTAGATCTAAACATGGTCCATGATGCACACAAAGTGGCTTTTTTTTGTCTTTCACTTCTCATTGCATTCATTTGACAGCCCAGCCCTTTCCAGAACAAGGCACTGCATTTGATAAATATACATTTTTAAAATGATTTTATATTATGGATGCATAGGCTTTAGGACTAATGGACTGCTAAAGTCAAGTCCACGAATAGCCTGGAGTGTCACAGGGGTACGAAGGAAAAGGGTAAACTATTTGTCTTTCACGAGAACAGCAGGTTTAGAGGGGAGAAGAAGGTCTATTCATCCTATCTATCATTCTCTTTCTCCTTCTCTCCTTCTATACAAGTCTGAACTACTGCAGTGCTATTCTGAGAGAGAGTGAGCTGCCTCAACCCACGCACTGAATATCACAGAGAGAAAGAGAGAGGGAAATGGAGGGATGGAGATAAAGAGAAGTCGAGAGAACATCCAAAACAGACATGTTTTGCAACAGTAATACAATGAAATAGAAGGCGAATAGCACGATTTCCTAAAATCTGATTAAAAGCAGATGAATTGTCCGTGATTCCTTTGTCAATTCACATTCTAGAAACTGTTTTCTGAATGCGCCACATCTTCAGTGTCACATCTCTTAGAAGTCGCCCACAGTGCCTTGCTGATTGGGTGCCGTGTTCAGGAAAAGCTAATCCAGTTTGCAGAAGCGCATACTGTTTCACATAGACGAGAAGGTGTCAAAATGGGCCTATGCTATATATATTATAGATATGCAAATGAGAGGTTACTGTTTTTAATGTTATGGGCTGTTCTTAGGTTCGCTCCTGTGAAATCTGTAAATGGCCCATATGAATGACTCAAAGTCACACCTGTTCAGATCGGCGTTCCGTGTCTAAAATGTCTTCTGTCATTGCTTAGTGCTTCCAGCAGAACTTCTCACAGGTGTGCGCAAAATACAATGGCGAAAAAAGGAAAAACATTCTTCCCACGTAGGTCGGTTGTTGCGCTGTATGTGCAAAATCCGCAGTTGCATCTGTCAATGCAAAGTCCTTTCTAAAAGCACTTTGGCTATTTAATGCTTCCATATTAATTATGCGCAAAATGGAGGCAAAACCACAAGCAGGTTATGTTCTGCTAATTATGAAAGCATTATCAGCAGCTGTCATTAAGAGAGGTGTTGAATCCATTTTGCAGCATTCGTCAAATTCCCAGCATTACATAAATAAAAGAATATAGTCTGACCAAATCATTTTCTTGTACTGAAATGTTGTATCATATTTCACGGTTATTATATGATCACGGTTATAGAATATATATGAATATATGTAGAATATATGATCAAATTCAGTCATGGCTGATTTGACATTAAAAACATTTTGCCACACATCTTTCAAATTTATTGTCCCTTAATAACATAATATAATATAATAAACTGAAAAACAATAGTGTCATTTGCGATATTTCGATAATTTCGATATATTGCACAGCCCTAATATATATATTTTTTAATATATATAATATATATATAATATTCCTTAGTTCACTACTTTAGCTGATGTGCAGAACCAGCTTGATGCCACAACGCCAATGTAGACGTGATGCATAGCTAAGATGAGAGCGCAGCCTGCAGCAGAGACACAAGTATATTTTCCTGGCCAATGCTGTATTTCCTGCAGATTTTTATGTGGCTCCTCTCTGTGCAGTTTTCCTTAGAGATATCTGTGCCTCATTACATCAAAGACGTGCTGTTGGTGTCTCTTATGGCATTAACTTGTTGATCTGTGACAACAGATTTCCTATACTCTCTCTTTCGGAGGACTATACACATTTTCTGCACAGTGCATTTTTGCGTATTTAGTACGCGTTAGTATTCCTGTGTGAGCCAGCAATACTGTCTGCATGTGTTGCAGTCTTCATGTTTGGCATTAGCACTGTATGTTCCCGGTGTTGTGTATTGTGTGTACTGTGTGTGTATGTGTGTTAGTAAGTGGTGTCACTGAACGCTCTCCATTCTCTTCCACCCACACACTGCACTCCCACATACACACACACGCACACACAAACGCAAACACACAAAGCACCTGTCCTCTGTCATACCTCTGGCTCTGTGCACTTCTGCTATGCTGTGCTCATATTTAAATCTCTATTTATCTCTCTTTTCTTTCGTACTTTACCCAACCTTCTTTTATCTGCTCGACGGTTTTCCCCAGGCCCCTACAATTGTGAAAATAAAGCATATAGGTATTGATTACAGAATAATATTTAGCACAACACTGTCTCTTTCACTTCCTCACAAACATTCTGACACATAGACCTACAGTGTCAGGAAAGCAGCATATCTCTCTCTCTCTCGCTCTCTCTTTCTCTCTCTCTCGCTCTCTCTTTCTCTCTCTCTCTCTCTCTCTCTCGCTCTCGCTTACCCCCTCCTTCGTGTCATGCTATGCTCTCTGAAAAGGACTGATCACTATTTGTTCAGATCATTGCTACTATTCACTTCTTTCAATGCTTCTGATTCATAGTGACTTGTTGTAACACATTAGACAAACGGTCATCACATCAGCTCTTCTTTTCTTTCTCAGCGTCATGAGCTGGAATCTGCAGCTGTACTGCACATACTTCATACAAATGTTAGATTTAAGTAAGTACAGATTTACAGGATACATATTAAAGTAATCCATCTTGCTTGCATCTAAATGTAGGTATTAAATCTATATATAAATGTTAAATATATATTTACTCAGAGTATATTACTGTAGTTAAGTGTGTTTTTCAAGAATCAGCACTTAATACTTTACTTCACTGCATTTCAGTGCTTAATATCTTACTTTTTACTTCATCACACTGCAGAAAACATGCCATTCATTGTTATTTCGATGTAAAGAAATTGCTTGCGTTCCGAAACATGGTAATGAGGTCCGATTCATGATGAATCGTTCTTCTGAGCCAATTCTTTTTTTTTTCTTCAAAGAACCTTTTTAAACTGGTTCACAAATTGCAAGGAACAATTAATTCCTTAATCTGGAATGATCCAATTGCAATGGTTTTGAAATAGAGAAACATAAAGTTTGAGACTTTCTATTTTGTTTTTTAAAATATTTGAAGAACCGGAACTAATATGATCATCAGAGCATGTGTGTCGATGATTTTATCGATAGGGTGAAAGCAAGTTAGCTATTGTAATGGTGAGTTTTGCTTATTGTTTATTGCAAATGGAAATAATATTTAGGTTTTATACGACCATACAATGTTTATTTAATAAAACAATCAGTTTATAGGCGAGTTGAGTTCATGTTAATGCTTAAAAGTCATTTCATTGTCATATTTTGCAGTTGTTTTCATTTGTTTCACACACTTCTCTGTAACTTTGATTGATATTCAAAGTTTAATATTTTGATTGTGTGCAGCAATTTCTTTAAAAAAATTAATGTTTGCTTATTTGCAGATATGCGTATTTAATGTCTGCGTTCACTAATATTTCTTATGAACAAGCGCTGGCTAGTTAATGCATGGTCATGAATAAACAATTTTTTTTGTAGATATAATGTGTATAGACATACAGTCCAACCCCATGAAAATGTCTTTTGTGTTGAATTCTGTGGATTCTATATTGAATCTGCATACCTTATTTGCCTGTCACATGCCATATGTGTCACAAAGAAAATAGTAGGCTGCCATGCAGATGACAAGCTAACTATGATCTTTCAAAAACTTTCACAGATGTCTGTGTGTGTTGGTGTGTGTCTGTGTGTGTGTGTGTGCATGTAGGATGTAACATCAATGTGTTAATTTTTTTCAGAGGCACATCGCTTGATAACTGAACACTTCATAACTGCCAGCGGATTCCAAGATCAACCCTGCAAAATAGTGAGGAAACAGCCATATCTACACCATGGGATTTTAAACCATTTCACCAAGAGCTTCAGCAAACCTTTTCAAAAGTTTCTCGGTCTCAATGAAAACTAGGCTTATCTTAAAAGCAAATCTGTTGAGTGAACCTTAAGAAACTGGAAAGCGACTTGAAGGTTTACACATAGTCACTCTCCTTGGAAATTTCTATTGTGAAGACAATCAGCCTTGAAAACGTTTTACGTCTTTTCTGCCATCATCAGTTTATTTTTTTATTTTTTTGAGTGTGTCTGTGTCAACGGTTTATTATATATTCTGAATACACACCTTAAATGCATGTAGCTAGGATAACCATTTTATATTCAATGTGACAGATGACTCAATTCATATCTGATTTCTTTTAACTATTTTAAATTTGCACACAGGATTATCCATTTGGTAATTCTTCACATGCTGAATGAGGAAGCGCACATTCATTTTAGTTCAGTAATGTAAAGACGATGAATGAGATACTGAACAAAATCAAAATGATTCCTCACCATACTGCTCTCAAACCCTCAAAGGAGTTCAACATTCTGAGTAGTCCTGTTAACACGTAAACAGAATAGTGCAGTAGAACAAGATTAATTTCTGAGTTGTTGTTTTTTTTCACCAAGTGTATGAAAATTGTTTATACTAGTTAATAACAGTAATCATTGAGGGAGCATTACAGGTCAGGGAAATCTGTTTAAAGACTAAGTGCCATTGCTGAACGAAAAGAGTGCCCAAATAAAATAAAAAAAATTGTGATAAGCAAAATATTAGTTTACATTTTAAAGTTGTTTACAGTTGCCCCTTTCTCTTAAACAAAACTTTCATCCTGATAAGTGCCAAGACAGGGAATTAAACCTAAACACTTTTATTGTATACAGTTGTATACAGAATACTACAACATAATTGCCTTCATGTGTCAAGAAAACACTAGATATTAAAGTAATAGAAGGACAGTAACGAGAAGCCATTTTGTTTGCCTGTGGATATCTGAAAATGTATATTTTGGAAGAAAGCCACAAAAGGGAACATTTGCCTTGTTAATACATTCAAAACTGACAATTTATTAAATGGTCTTTAATTTCCTGTTTAAACAAGAACTAGTCAATTGTATGTTGCCTGCACAGAATATTGTCAGCGTTTGGATTGTTTTACATATTGTTCAGATTCTCCAGCTATATGTTGGACGGAAGCACTGCATGATGAGAGAATATGTGTTATGTAGCTCACCTTGAAGCTGAAAGCACATCAAAATAGTTATTTTTCTCTCACGCCGTCTTGGAGTGTGACCGTTCAAAGCGCACACTTTAACAGACTTTGAGAACAGATTTTTCTTTCAAGACTGTTTTGATATAGACTCAGATTTCATACGTCGGAGGGCTGCTACAAGAATATTTTACAAACGGCGCAAAGCAGGCTGTTTTTACAAAATTCAGCATTGTGCGGTGGGTTGAGTCAGCGAGAGAAAATAGCAGCGTTAGTCATGTAAAGATGGTGTCCACCTTGGAAGCTCGAGTGCGTGTCACCATTCTCTTCCTGCTAATCGCTGTCCCACTTAACGCTTCCTCGGCGAGCGTCCCGGGCCCCACCAGAAACACACCAAATGGGCCTATCATCATTACACCGACGCCCAACCCCAGATCTCAGGGTAAGGGCTTTCTGTACCCCCTTTCTAAAAACGGTGGGGGTATGCGAGGGAAGTCCATGAATCGTCGGCCAAAGCAGCCAGCTGGAGCGGCAGAAATGCCCCTCAGGCCGCTGCCTCAGATAATGCTGCCAAAGAATGTAACGACTGATGCACTGAAGGCCCCTTTTGGAGCGGCGCAGGTAGCTCCGCCTCCTCGCAAACTGGTGGAAGTGGACGTGTGTCGGGGTTATTATGATGTCATGGGACAGTATGACCTCACCTTTAACTGCTCCAAGGATGACTTCATCTACTGCTGCGGGACCTGCCATTACCGATTTTGTTGTGCGGACCGCACTCGAAGGCTGGACCAGAACATCTGCCAAAACTACCATTCCCCTGTGTGGGCCAATACGGCCCCCCCTGCGACCAGGCCCCCGCTGCCTGCCCACCCGGACCTCAGCCGTATCGAACAAAGCAACAACACCGTCTACGTCATCGGTGGAGTCATCTCGTTTACAGTGGCGGTGGCAGTGGCTATTAAAGTGGCGTTTCACAAGGCATCACGGCAGCCTAGGAACAGAGAACTCAACATGCCCAGGTGAGAGTTCATGCATCTTGATCAAAAAGGACTTCTGATCTACCTAAAATTGTATTTTCTTGACTAATCATTTCGACATCCTTTCCTGTCAGGGCTCTTGTGGAAATGTTGCGTCACCAGTCGAGTCCAGTTCAAGAGGGAGATAGAAACAACAGTGTTGCCTTGGGAACTGGAGGAGGAGAGGGGACGCTTGGACGACCCCCAAAAAATCTCTATCCAACGCTACAGAGTAAAGATAACCGACGTGAGTGGAAAACTTCATAATCTCCATATGTAGGGGAGATGCCCCCTTTAAGAACAGTGTGCATTTAATTTAGCAAGATGAGTTTAGCATGTTTAAAGGGGTCATATGATGCAATTTCAAGTTTTCCTTTCTCTTTGGAGTGTTACAAGCTGTTTGTGCATAGATAAGATCCCTAAACTTGCAAAGACTAAAGTATAAAACCCAAAGAGATATTCTTTATAAAAGTTAAGACTTGTCCACGCCCTCC